AAAAAAAAAAAAATCCAGGATACCTCTGGTTGTGGGTGGATCGTTCTTTCCGTGTTGCATGCCACGAGAGATGGAGGTACCTGGCTTTGGATGAGCTGTGCTGGGGCTGGCGGCATCGCCTGCGCCGGGTGGAAGGGCTGAGACCAGCGGCTCGTGGCCTGTGCTGGCCCTGGGCTGGGCCGTGGTGGCCAGCAGGCAGCCGTGGAGCCGAGCATCCGGAGCTTCCTACGCTGCCAGGGTAAACAGCCCGTGCCCTTTTTTCTGCTCTGTTTGCATGTGGATTGTCTGACCGTCGTCTGCTCTGCAGAACTGGAAGATGTCTACATTTTCACCCGCTGAAGGAGTATTTCCATTCCTTCATTCTTACCGCCTAAAAATAGCCTTGTCATTGATGTGAGCTGTTTCTGTTTGCAGGTATAACACCTTGCCGAGCCGAAGAACACTAAAAAATTCCAGATTAGTGAGTAAAAAAGACGACGTTCACGTCTGCATCATGTGTTTACGAGCCATAATGAATTACCAGGTATTTCCCTTTTTGTTCTTTTGGACCCCGTAACTGGCTTGTTGCTGGGAAGGGGAGGAGGAAGGAAAAGGTTAGCGGTGAATGGTTAGGGTAAAACTGATGCAAAGGTTTAAATTCTTACTTATTTTTCGGTAGTGTAGCTGGGAAGCGATATAACACGGTCCTTGCGTAGCCGTGCGGGTGATTTAGTACAGGTGTGAAGACACGCGTAGGTAAGCGCATGCGCATATTGGGCCCGCTCCTGGTTGCAGCGATGGGCTCAGTTTGTGCTAACTGATGGGACATGCAGCTCCACAACTGAAGTTAGAATTTGTCTCAGAATTTAGGACTAACACTTAGGAAATACGAGAGTTTTTCAGAAGAGCTGTACACTGATGGAAAACCCAAGGTTTCGCTCTTGTTGCGTGTTTATCGCAAGGCAGTTGCAGTAACTGCAAGTCAAAGAATAAACTAGACCAAAGCTAATCATATTTTCATGAATTTCTTTTCAAGTGGGATGCTGTGATCTTATGGCATGCCCAGGTAGCTTCAGAGACTTGGGATTTTTTGCTAAAACAGCAACAGTTAAAAGTTATGTGCTTCAAAGAAAGGTCTCTGCTCCCAGGGAAGGGGCGATGGGACGAGGGGCAACGGCCTCAAGCTGTGCCAGGGCAGGGTGAGGTTGGCCATGGGGAACAATTCCTTCCCCTTGGGGCTGTCAGGCACGGGAAGGGGCTGCCCAGGGAAGGGGTCGAGTCCCCAGCCCTGGGGGGATTTAACAGCCGGGCAGAGGCGGTGCTGAGGGCCAGGGTTTGGGGGTGGGATGGCAGGGGTAGGGGAACGGTTGGGCTGGGGGAGCTTAAAGGGCTTTGCCAACCCAAATGATTCTGTGATTCTATGTGGTGAACACCTTTATTATAAGTTGTATGCTTGTACAAGGTATTTCTGACAGGGCTGCATGTGTGAACCCTCTGCCCTGGGGGACACCGCCTCCCTGGGATTTGCAAGGTTTCTTACCTCTGATGGCAAGGATGCAAACAACGATCTTGTGCTTATAACCAATACAATATTTTCCAAAGCAGGTTTTTTTTTTTTGTTTTGGAGAGCAAAGGCAGCAGCACTTGTGCAGTAACTGCACAACATGCATGCTGGAAAAGAAGTGATCTTGGCAGCTGAATTGCAGATTCCTCTTTCGAGACTAAATGATGCACGTGACAGTCAGAAATAAAAAGAGGAGGGAGGGGAAAAGGTGAGCAGAGGGGTTGGCAGTGGTGTAAGAGCAGCTCTTGGACCCTTTTTTGTTGGCTAATATGGCCAAACTGAGTACTTTCGACACTGTTAGTGGCAGAGAAGTTGTTGGGCACGGTGGTAGATGGAGATGTGTTGGGTGGCTTGGTAAACTCAACGACACTTGGTTTGGCTTACAGCATTGTGAAAGACTGCCGCCAGATCTGGCCAGAGATATGTGATTTGTTGGATTTTAAAAATAATAATTTCAGTCCCCAAACTGAAACAATATTTTCCCCTTCTCTTTTCAGTATGGATTCAATATGGTCATGTCCCATCCGCATGCCGTTAATGAAATTGCACTAAGTTTGAACAACAAGAATCCCAGGTAGGCTGCACTTGCTTTTGGAGGGTTTAAGAAGTAGGTAAGTAAAGAGTACACGGAAAGGGATTTTCAGGGGTGTGTTTATGCACAAACCTGTAGCAACAATCATACTTCATTCTGAGCCAGATAAAATCTGTGTTATGGTGCAACTGGATGAGCAATTGCCATCTAGTTCCATTGGTTTCAGGAGCTACTGACTCTTCAGCTGAAAGTTTGCTGCGTAAGCGCTCCAGCTCGATTGCAGTGCAAAGAGGACCTTGCTGATAATGATCAGCTTAGCATGGGATTTTCGTGAGGAATGGGAAAATCTTCTTAACTAGATTTTGTCCGAGGGGTCCTTAGGTTTGAGTTTCTTTGAGAGGGGGTTTCATTCTTGCTCTGTGTCGGGTTGCTGCTCAGCTGCGGCAGTAGCGTTGCGGTGGAACTGCTGGCTGCGAGGCTGCGTCCCCTCCTCTCCCCGCGCACACTTGTGACCCTGGCAGCCACTTCCAGCAAAGCCTGGAGCTAGGAGCCTCTTGCATGTCTAGTGAAACCAGGTCTGGCATACTGATGTTTGCAAGGAAAGGTAAAACTAGGGGGTGAGGCAGAACTAAACAGCACTATATATGTGTGTCTATAGATATATATATATAGCCTTTGCTTAGGCTGTCCGCTTGCCTTACAGTACACTGCCTGAAATCTTGTCCTGATGGAAGTAGGTATTTCCTTCCTTTCTTGTATTTAGCCTTTAGTCAGCAAGCCTGGGCACAGCATACGTGGGAAGGATATGGGAAGTTTATTGTTTTTATCATTTTTGGTGTCCTTGTGCCTGGAAATCAGGTGATCAAGAGAGAACCTGAATTTTCCTTTTTGAAAGAAGTGGGTTGTTTAGATTTCTGTTTATGGAAGAAAAAAGCTTTCAAAGATGGCTAAAATAATCTGAAGACAAAACTTAATGTTAGTGCTGTTCGAAACCTAACTTCTTTTTGGTTTAGCCCCATCGTGATTTTTGAAGAAACTGGTGGTTTCAATGCTTAGGGTTGCCTGAGATGTGCCAAGAGGGAAGCAGCAGCTCTGGGAGATGCTGCGGAGCCGATCCCATCCCCAGCCCCTGCACGCCGCGGAGCTGAGCGCTGCAGGAGTGGGCAGGCCAGCTGGAGGATGGATGTCGGGACTCCGTCTCCTCTGGTTGTGCTCAAACAGATGCCGCGGCCCTAACTCTCCTCTCCCCGTCCCCATCCCAGCTGCGTGGGCAGCCGGTGGGTGAGCGCTCCGGGCAGAACCAGGGACCTGGGCATCCCCCCGGGCTCCCCGCTCACAGAGATCGCTCCCCCGTCTCCCCGCACGCACGGTCCATAGCCCGCCCTTGGAGGGGTTATTGCTGAAGATCTGTAGTAAGAAGCCCTTGATCCTGTCTGAAAGAGCTTGGATTTTCTTCTTGTGGCAGAGAAAAAAAATTGATGAGTAAGAATTGAAAATGATACATTTAAAATTTCCTAGGAAAGTGAACATTTTATCTGGTTTCCAAAGATAACCTTGACACTTTGAAAGCCAAAAGGTATTTCTTTTTCTGTAACATCTGGTTTGAGTCATGGCTTTAGCATGAGACTAATTTCCTATGTGTCTGCATGATTTTAATATCTGCTCAGAGCTCATCTGACCATAAAGTCTGGTTGGTGCTGTTGCCTTATGTGAACCCTCTAAAAAAGTACTGGGGATTATTTTTACTGGAGTTACGCTGAGTCTATTGCATGCTTTTCCTTCAGTAATATGTTGTCTTCTCTCATTAATATGCCTGTGTTAGCACTGCTGTCAATCAGTTGCCCAGATTTCTGATTCAAGAGGGGAAAGACGTGCTAAGGCATCCTATAGTTACTTCAGCGAACCACGTCTTTTGTGTGTGTGTGTGTGTGGCTATGAATAATACAAATTGTCATAGAAAATAATTCGGATTTGTATGAGGAAAAATACAGATTTGAATTATAAACCCATTCATTACAAACTGGGCTCGGAGGAAATGGGCTGCATTGTGGTGTAAGACAGCTGACTAATGGCTGACGTGCGGTGATCCCGGCTTGTGTAAAACCACCTCCGCCCCGGGTCTGTGCAGGTGGACGCGCGGGGAGCACGAGCTGTCGAAGGCTGACGTGGTCTGCCTTTACCAGAGTTATGCAACTGCCTTTGGTTTGCTTGAATTCCCACGAGTACAATTTGTGATTTAAATTTTTGCATGTTTTGAGAAGCGTTGACATGGGGGAAAACTGCATGATCCTGGGAGAGTCCAAATGCCCTGGATCAGATGATGCTCAGCATTACGCACCTTGCAGGTTTACTAGTTTAGAGAGATTCAAAATACACGGGAATGCAAACTACGTCTCCCAGTGTCTCCGCATCCCTTTTGCAAACAGAAGGAAGGTGGTCCATCGCGTGGTGGTCATTGACTGTTGTGGTTTCATTTCTTTGCAGGACGAAGGCTCTTGTCTTGGAACTTCTGGCAGCTGTTTGCCTCGTCAGAGGAGGGCATGAAATCATTTTATCTGCGTTCGATAACTTTAAGGAGGTACGTTCCTCTGCTTTATCAGAATTTGATGCACATGTCAATAGGTCTCTTACATGGCGTTGGCTGAAGCTTTCTCATTCAGCTAAGTTTCCTAGATTTCCATAAACTGCAGGTATTCCATAAGTCACTTTGAGCTGCAACGAATCTGACAGCGCTGTTCACACCATCGTTTTGTGCGCTTTTGCGTAGAAGAGCCATAATCCCAACAAGATGACTCCAGACTGTGAATTTCTCCCTGGACTTTTTGGTCAGTCAAGCTGCGTCCCTGAAGTGGAAAACTTAATGGAGATCTTGAGAGCTTCACTCCAGTTCTTCTGTCTCTAAACGCTTTTGTATGTTCTTAGGTGAAACAACCAGGAATGGTGTATTAGATCTCCCGTTTTCAGAGCCTTTTACACAAGCCCTTGAAATGCAAAACTCCTGGTTTTACCATCAGTAGGAATTTTATTTATGAAGGTATTACAAAATCAAGTCTCTGTGGTGGAACACTGACTGCTGAAATTAATACAGGTATTCCAGTAGGCTCAAGTGGAGCAAAAAAGTGTCATCTATGGGTGTATCACATGTTTGCATACAGCGGTTAATGGGATTTGAGAACGTTGTATGAAGGTTCAGAAGCACTAGTGTGAGAATCAAATCCTAGAAAGCTGTTGTTCTAGTTTATTTTGACTATTGGATATATATGTGAATTTATTATCGAAGAAGAACGGGTTGCCCAGAGAGGGGGTGGAGGCCCCATCCCTGGGACCATTCCAGGCCAGGTTGGACGGGGCTGTGAGCAACCTGATGTGGTTCAAGGTGTCCCTGCTCCTGCAGGGTGGTTGGGCTGGGTGACCTCTAGGGGTCCCTTCCAACCCAAACCATTCCATGATTCTATGCTTCTAAGAAATGAATCTGGGTTTACCAGCTCAAAAATTGTTAGACTTGATGGGTCCCAACCAGCCTGTGTATAAACATGTGGTATGCTTTTCCTTAATGCCGCTGTTGCTGTAAGTGGGTTAATGCAGATGATCAACAAGCCAAGTTGTTAATTTTTGTACTTTTTGTGTTTAAAAAAAAGGGTGGCGGGCTGCGCACCGATCTCTGATTTACATGCACTGTAAATATTTGCATTTTTGCATAGTTGTTGTAGAGCTGCACCATAACTGTATTCCTGAGGTGCTCGTCATTATACAGCGCCAGAGAAAAAAGTTTGAAGTAAATCTCCAGTGTGGGCCTGTTGTAGGAACCTCAGCTTTGCCAGACCAGACCTGTCCTAAATGTGAGCTGTGTTGGGCGTGTAGAGCTACCTAAGGACAGCGGGAATGGGAATGGCACGGCTGCTGGCGAGGCTTTCCCGGCTGTGAAGTGGAAGTTGAGTTGGGAGTATGGTGTGACCATGGAGAAAGCCTTGCTCCTGGGTCACGCCAGCGGAAGGGCTGGTCGGAAAATGGAAATGAGATGTTCTGCTTCCAGCCGGGGAAAGCTCTGCAGTCCTCTAATGCAGGCACAGAGCTAGACCTGGAAATTGTCGTTTGGTTCTTTCATTTATTCATCTGTAGCCTTGGGCAAGCTGCCGGCATCTTTGTCTTTATTTGCACCTTTGTGAAAGGAAGGAATCGCGGAAGCAAATGCAGATGAGGTTGTTAGGAAGAACAATTGGGTAACATGAGAGAAGTGCTTCCAGTAGGAGAAGCCCTGTAAACATGCAAAGCACATTGTTGTCACTCCAGGCTTAAATTCTTCTGGCATATTACTGCTCTATTACAGAAGAAATGCGGCTCATTAGGGAGGACGTCCCGAGGGATTGCAGATACCTTGGGCAAATGACTACGGCTGACATCCGCCGGTCGGGGTGGTCTGTACAGCTCATCGCACGGGCCCTTTGCATGGTCACGGGCAAGGATGTGTGAAGTCCCATCTGCTCTCTTACTGTCCTGGCATCTTTAGCCGAAGTTTGGCGCCTTCATTTTCTTCCAAGGGCTCAATCATCCCTTTTTTTTTTTTTTTTCTCCTGCTGACACTCAGAAGTTGTAGCGTAACACATCCAGTTTGTCTGCCGTTATTTATTTATTTAATTATTCCATTCCCGTTCGCCAGTCGTTTGCTGCAGTGGGACCGTGGGATGTGTCAGGTGAAGCGGGGGCGCGAGGTGGGGGTTGTACCTCGCTCAGTTTGGCATTTGGCTCTTCTTCTCTTTATCCAGTTGTGCGGCTTATTTCTTGCTCCGTGCTGTTGTTCCCCGGTTTCCTCCTGGGCAAGTTTTCAGTAATGGTTTCAAGTCTTCATGTTTATAACTCAGTCAGCTGGTTTATTAAAAATCTTCTGAGTTGCTGACATGTAAGGCACCCGGGGTTAGATTTCTAGCAGTATTCTCCCAATTTAAATTACTGTAAGCTCCGTAGTATTTGTGTGGCTTCTGGAACCACGCGTTGCAGGGCTGCCACAGCTTCTCTGCGGTTCTTTCATCCGACGCTGTGTGCGTATTTAGGGCAGATCAGACCCGTCAAACTAGATCTCTGCCACTCTATCTCCTTGCCATAAAATAACTTCAAAAGAAATTTGAACTCACGCCTAACACTCACCCTGTAATAAAGTCAGTAGGGAAAACAGGATGTTTCGGACCAAATTCTGCTCTCATTTACATCAGGGTGAACATCAAATATTTCATTAGGCTTTGAGCTTTGCTCTCATGTAAATGAGAACAGAATTTGGTTCTCAGGGTCTGGCTGAGCTGGCAAACCGCAGCTGATCTGAATCTTGCCGAGAATTCTTTTTGAAAACGACTTTTCATTTGAAAATGGTGTTACAGGCCAATCTCTGTCTGGCTGGGCGCAGGGTGTTCAAACGGAAGGCGGGTTGTTCTGCTAAGCTGTCTTTTGAACGTTCTTCTCGCCCGGTTACTTCACCTGAAATCACCGATGCTTGTGTGCAGGGTGCTTCTCTTTGCAGGGGCCTGGGCTCCGTGCGTTACGGGCACAGCCCGGCGCTCGCTGTTTCGAAGCCACCAAGAAGGTACCAGCAACGAGGAGCTTGAGACTGAGTTGAATAAAGCTGAACTCAACAGGAAAAAAAATAAATCTGGAACCGTTGTTACTGACAGGGAATGGAGACCAGGAGAGGAAGGAGTAGCTTGGGGTGGGTGGTGGGAAAGGCAGGTGTTTTATGCAAAGTTCATTAGAGCCGAGGAAACGAGGCTTCACGCGGTCGCGCTGGTGATAAACTCCATCCCCGGCTCGAAGACCGCACGCTTGGGCGCAGGCTATCACGGCGTTACCAAACCCGAACGAGGATTCCTCAGAGCTAAGGCACAGAAATAACGTGGGCAGGCGAGCTGGGAGCGAGGTTATGGAATCTGGTGAGGACACCCGGAAAGAGAACGGACAGAAAAGTCGCAGTTCAACAGAACCAAAGCTTGTTGAGGCCATGGGTGCAGAAGGCTGTTTTCCAGCTCACTCGCGGCCTTGCTCTGCTCAAAATGAACATTTTTTTGTGGCGTTTCTAGTTGGCTGTTGTGTTTACGTGGCTTACATGTTTTTCCTTTACGGCAAGCCTGGTCGCCAATAAACGAAAGGCTTCAGCAAGTTTACGGATATGTTGAAAAAAATCGCGAGCCGACGGCGCTAATGTGATCGCGTGATGAAAACAGCCACAAAGAAACAGTGGCTTTGCTGCAAATACTGATTTCCTCAGCTTTGGGGAAGAGCTGAAGGTGATGGTTTGTGAATATACTTCACTAACATTTCCAGGAGCGCAATCTGAGATCCTTGTGCAGCTTTTTGTTATTCTCCCTTCTAAATGTGGGAGAATTTACTTCGGTAGCAACTAAATATTTCTGGGAAAAGACCAGAGGACTCTACCACTCTTTTTTTTTTTTTTTTTTTTTTTTAATAAATAAGCACAATAGCCATTTTAAAGCGGATCCAAACCAAGGAGGCAAAAGAATTGAGTGGGATCTGTAGCGAGACAGAAAGCCAGCAAGAAATAATCCTGGCTCTCTGCAGGGAACACTTCCCGACTTTGGCTCTAATCCAGCAAAGCAGTTAAATTGATTATTATACAAGCGTATACCAGAATAATGGAATTTGGTAAGGTGAGTGTACGCCCGCGTGCTTCTCTGTATGAGAAATAATTTCAGTATTTAAAAAATAAAACCAGAATTAAGGTGCATTTCCTAAGATGAACCATACCTTTCAAAAAACCCGCCTTGTTTTGCTCCGAGACAAGAAGAGACGCCAAAAAAATAAATGGGAATTCGGATAATCCAGAAAACTTGGGCGAAGCTCATCTCCTGGTGGTTATTCCAGCATCTGAACTTCCCTGGCCTAACTCGCTGGAGACCAGGGGATGAGGGAGAGGAGCGGGGTCTGGCGTGCTGGTGCTCCCTCTTGTTTTAGCATTGATTTAATTGACTTCGGTGTTCGCTGCTCTGCAATACCGGCCGGGCGAGGAGAGCTGCCGTCCCCTCGCGCGGCGCCTGGCTGTGGCTGTTAAAGCCGAGCTTACAAAGGCTCGGTTCCTGGGAATCGCTGGGCAGGGAGCTGCAAGGTGGGGGCACGGCAAGCGAACCGCACTGTTCACCTCCATCAGTTTTCACTCCGGCAAAGTGGGACAATATTGCTCAGCCCTCAGTGCCGAATTCAGCGTCCGATTTCCCTGTTTGAATAACGAACGGCGGCGCTGAGAACAGCAGTTCTGAGTTCTCCTTACGGGCCATTCTAATGACTCGGTACTAGAAGAAACTGTTTGCAAGTGCTGGAAAATGTAAATACATTTGTTGTCTTTTGCACCGCAGCAGTGTATTGAGAGTGCCTTAACCCTGCTGGTAGAGACGTAAAAGGTATTTGAACCTAGCAAGTATTAAATAACTGTTTGCTTAACCAGTAGCTTATGGGAGAACGGATTTTTTTGTTCTTCAGCAAACTGCAAAAATGTCAGCGTGATCAGCCCAAACAAAGTGTTTCTGTGGAGCGCTGCTTGCCGGTGGTGGGATCCGCCGCTCACAGTGGGCTGTTGTGGGG